CCAAAGCTATCCCGGAGCATAGGCATCGCAGCGAAGATCGTTTGCGTGCCTTCGTCGTATTGCTCGTCGTCGTGAGTGTTGTTGGTGGTGGTGGTGTCAAAGGAAGTGGCTCGGGGGGTAGGACCCGGAGTAGGTGGAGTGTCCTTGGAGAGGTTATGGCGTGGTGGAGTTGGTCGTAGTGGTGAGCGCGGTGGGATGGCTGGAGGATTAGTACTACCAGTAAAACCGCTATTACTACTCCCGTTGGTACTGCCACTGATAATACTACTACGACCAGTTATTGCTGCTGTTGTTGCTGCGTTGTTCTTCAAGTCCAGCAATGAACGAGGGCGTTTGTAATTTGAAGGCGCACACACTATCCCCACGCGGCGAGAACGAGGCGACGGCTCTTGTTGATCTTCAACCCGTTCAGCATCATCTTCATCAGACGCCGCTCCTCCTCCACTTGACCGCTTTCCTTTCTTCGCCTTTTCCTGCTCCTGCTTCTCGGTTTCACAGGATGAAGTTGGGCTTTTTCCGACCTTCCCACCCGCCAAGTCGTCGCTCTCTTCACCCGAAAACACTGCCTCTCGGTCCTTTTCACAACACGCCTCTTCCTCTCCCTCGCCGCCCCCGATCCTCGTGCCAGGCCCGTCACGACACCCCAAATCTAAATCTCCGTCAATGCCGAGGCCGGGGCCCGTAGTACTAGTCGTAGTCGTGCTCGTGTCCACTCTACTCTCTCCTTCATCATCTCGTTGCACGTCTGACATCCCGTCAAATGTGCGCTTATCCGTGTGATTGGAATTGAGGGGCTTATCGCCACAGGTATTGGCACGTCCCGTCCCTTCCGGTCCTGAAAAACCCTTGATCCTCGATCTAAAGTTCAATAGGCCAAACGTTTGCCGTTCTCGTTCGCTCGCTTCGTGCGTGCGTCCCGTAGTACGCTCTCGATGCAAATAGGCACACCGCAGTACCACGTCCTATTACCGAAAAGCGAAAAGTTCGCCAGCAAGTCTTTTAATGACCACGTTGCCTCCTGGCGTGCTCCGCGTTCTGCGTGATCCCGGAAAGCCGTAAGTCCAGGCTATTAGACTAGACTTGGACTAGGGAATAAGCCCGAGTATAGGGGGCTGTGAGTTCCGGCTTGGTGTAATGTGGACCTGTGATTATTTAGGTTGGGCTGTTGAGAGACGACGGAATATTCTGAATATAGCACTGACAACGCACTTCAAGGTCTCGCGACTACAAGTCCGCGGGAGAACCACCTGGTGTCGTGTGGCCTCAACAGCTGATTTGATAACGCGCACAGACGGAACTGTACAGCGGAGATAAGTAAGTAACGTTAAGGCCCACGACGGAGGAGGACGTGCCAGCTGGCAGCTAGGCAAATGGTGGATATGGGATGAGAAGAGACCACGTACACAGAGAAAACGTTGGTCGCTGGCAGACTTTACGCCTGGTCTGTATTGGCAATTATGTCCAAACTCGTCCTTGATGGGCGTTGTTTCTCTACTTGTCTGGACCTGCGATGTCGCCAAAGTCGGTTTTAGATCGAAACCTATCTTGTTCTAGTCAGATTGGACGTGTCTTGAGGTGGTGTGAGGACGAGCGACGGAAGGTAGAAGACCGTCGCTAGTGCCCGTTAGGATGACCAACGGTAATAACAGGAAGAACGAGCGAAGGAGGAGCCGGAGGGCGCGTGATATCAGAACTTTTCCGTACGTACAAGCGAGACGCCAATGATTCACCTCACTGGTCAGAATCACCGCTCGGGAATCCTCCTAATTACTCGACAGCTGGACGGGGAAACCCCTTCGTCGTCTTCGTAGCGTAACACTAACAGAGCAAGTGGCAGTCGTCAACCTCAGGCTACGCTAGCGCTTCCAGATCTGTATTTACACCTCAATTTTCCGACATCGATGTCCCAACCTCACTGAAACCAGCGAAGTTTTCGCGCAGTCATCTGTCAAACTGGCAGCCCGCCAACTCAGCACCCCAACGCGCCAGCGCCGACCCGGCCATCCCGATACCCCTTGCTTGCCAAATCCGAACAGGCCCTTTCCCATTCCCCACTCCACAGCGCTGCCAGCTCACACGGCTCACGAGACTCCGGTTTCACGAGGATCACTCAAGCTCGCAGAGCCATCCGGGGCATACTTTGACCATTTGACAAGTGACACCGTGTGAGGTAGCTCCGGTGCGGGGTATCCGTGCCTTGATTTCTAGCGCCCATCGTCGGCCTTGTCATGTGAATTTGTGGCTCTGGGTCATGGGCGCTTTGTCGGAGGTAAGTGGGGTTTGGTATGATGAGGGTTGAGGATATTTATGGATCTGATGGAGGTGGATAGGAGCTCGCGCGAGTGGAAGATCCAACGCCCTCTAGCACGAGATCTTGAGACTACGGAGACATGTTGGGCGGTACTGCGGGGGAGGCGAAGCCCAGGCTGTTCTGAACGAGATCGCACATCATCGCAGAAGCAAGTTAGTGGGAGCCAGAAGACCGAACTCCACTCTGAAGAAGGGTGCTTTTCGGATCGAGAAGGAACAGCCCGTCTTTTCGACAGTGTGGCTTATATTAAAACGCTACCTCCCTTCTGGTAATAGCGGTGCCGGTGAACACTAACCTCCTTCTGCCCTTGTAGGTATATTACGGGGCGACTAGAAGCCTGGCAGATTGATGCTTTCGCTGGCATATCTGATGCTTTTACTCAGCACTTGAGCATCCCCCAAGTCGGAGTCAATAAATCCGGCGCAGCGAAAAAAGAAGATCTCGACCTTTCCAATTAGTTGCGGTTTTGGACGCTCCGACAGCTTCGAGCCTCAGCGTGTCCAACGTATACACTCAACCCACCCAGATACGTGCTCGCAGGGTACGAAGGACGTCCTTCCATGCGTAAGATGGTTCCCAAGGTCATACTGCGCACAAAGGACTTCGTTCATGCAATGAGTAGTCCCCGGCGTCCATAAGAACCTGCGAGACGGAGCGAGCGGTCGACCAAGCCCGAGATCCCCTGGACACCTCGAGAGTCTAAAGTGCAGCTAGCGCATGAGGTGAGGGGAGATGAAAACGCACTTACGAGACTGGCAGATTGCACACTGTTACAGGTTGGAGTGTCGATGATGCGATGTTTGCAGGGAGAACCACAACCCCCGCCTTGCGCCCCTCATGTCCCCCAACAGACATCACGGAAGAAGTGTCAGCAGGGGGCAAGACAACCGCATACGTCGAGTCGTCCGGTACTGAGTTGGCTGAAGGAGGGGAAATAAAGGAAATGGCTCCTTATAACTCGATTACAAAGAAGACTCCAGACGCACAACCAGGAAAGAAGCCTGTCCTTGACTGGTCGCGACTCATGTTGGACCTTGTCGGACACGTGGAGCTACGTACAAAGGCGGGACAAACTACCTCAGATCTCCCCCTGCCATTCAATCTCTTGTCCACGAGGCATTCAATAGAAGACGTGTATCCTTAGAAGTGTGATTAAGACCAGTGCTAGTCAAAGGGGTAAGATACAGACAATGCACCGAATGTAAACCGAATGAGATGGTTTCTGCTCAAAAAGAAATGCTGACGAGTCTAGAAAAAGGTCACGGCGGAACTCCTCCAGACGAACGTCAAGGCACGAGGTACTGCTCAAGTTGGGATAAGGATTCAGCTGGAGTTTGCAGAGGTGGTACGATTTTCTACTAGCGATAATAGTACACTCAGGAGCAATATAAAAGTAGGGCCACAGTGACAACACAGCTTGAAACAGTACATGCCAACGCAAAGGAGAAAGTCAAAGAATATGTACCACCGCACAAGCCAGATGAGTAGAATACCTGCTAGAAATACCGTCTCCTGAAGAGTGGTCCCGCAGCATCCTCGTCATTCGCGATCACACCCTCGGAGACCTCGGGATCTGCAAGTGCTCGTTTTCGAGACCACTTCTTCATCGGGGGTCCATACGTCATCGAGAAGGTACAAGTTGCTGGGACCGTCGCAAGATTGAGAAGGTTCAAAGGCTTACGCTGTCGCGCCGCAGAGTCGGGAGCACCAGGAGCTACGGTGGGCTTGCGGGCCTTTCTCGCCAGGTGCCTATGCGCAATCCGAGTAAACCCTGACATTAGGATCGAGGGAAGGCAGATATGAGCACGATCGCGGAACAGCGAAGACAGCGAGTCGACGTAACGCAGCAGAGTGGGTATAGATGGTTCCCTTCCCTCGGACCCCGCCAATGCTTCGAGCAGGAAGCGGACCCAGGACCTCAAGTGAGCTGGTCTCATTGAGCACCCTTTCTCGCATATGACACCAAGATCATACTACACACCAAAATTTGGAACGGGCATCCCTGCCTCAAATTTTGCTCAGATTCTTGATCTCGGGGTCTTCAGATTCTGCGACAAATTGGGTCCAGAGCCTTAGAGTACGGTCATGTACGTGATCGGTAGTTAACAGTTGAGGGATGAAGTCAATTAAGCGCTCTTCAAACGTGGCTAATATTTCTGCGAGACGTTGTTGGTATGTCTTCCGTTGAGACTGGGAGCCTGTGAAAGAGATCAACATTTCTTCATCGTGTGACACTCAGGTTCCTAGCCTTGATGATTAACGATGTCATTTCAGCTGCAGCAACACAAGAGTATAAGAGTGGTACGGACGTTGGTGGAGCGCTGGAAAAACCGTTCAAAATCGAGGAAGAAATGAGAGCAGAGGCAATGAGGCTCGACCTCGCTCTTTTACAATTTGCCCATGCTCAGAGAGCATTCCAAGTCCTACGTTATCAGTCGCCTTTCGCGGCTAGAGTATTCTCGACTCCCAAACGACTCAATCAAATGGCGAAAAGCAGAAAGAGCAGGAGCTGAAGCGCTGAAGCCTAAGGCAAGGATTTGCTGCACAGGTGAAAAACTCAAATAACTGCTGATGGATGACAGTTGGTAGCGAAACAAAAAAAAAAGACTTCTGCGGACACAGACCTCCGACTCCAACATATCGATTTTTGGCAACGATGATTGTCGCGGTGTTCGGTGGGCAAAATTCGAGGTCTTGCCAGGGTTCGAACCTGGGTTTCAGGAAGATCTCAACCCGAGAAGTCCGGGTCTCTCAAAATCCTGAGTGATAACCACTACACTACAAGACCGATGTGCACGGATGGAATATGGAGGTTAATAGGCTGCTGGGTCCACGGGTTCGCCGGTCAACGCATCGAGCGAATGGTTTGGGGTGCCTGTAGGGCCTTGCACGACGTCCGATCGTTGGTTTGTGATTAGCTCGACGAGAAATTTTTGCAGCTTTTCACGTGGGCTCGGGAAGCGCTCATCAGCTGATCAAGTATCAAGAAAGTACTGTGCTGGCCTTGGAATGATTTCATGAGGATACATCAACAGAATCGTAAGGGGCCACTAGGTCGTATCGTAAGTATCGCTACAGTCGTAAGACGTTCGTTCGGTAAAGTATTGCACAATCCGGCCTACAGCTGTCTACGCTGCAACACAATCGTAACATCGTTATATCAGGTCAATATAGTACTGTCAGTCTGTCTCGTAAAAATCATCCGAAGGATGGTCAGCAAAAAACCGTGAAATTCGTGATCAGTTGAGAACGTGACCGCTCATTCGATCGTCAGCACTCTCCAACCCGCTCTCGTCAGAGCTCCCATCCGAACGCCGCTGTGCGTTCATTTGAACCAGTCGCAGACGAATCACCTCTGTCTCGGTCCTACGCTTGTCGAAGTAAGCTTTGTACGCGCCGCGCCGCGCCTCTTCGGTAGTCTTTGCGTTGCGCAGGGTGGCAGTTTTGGCTTTCAGTTGAGAGGACAGGCGGAGGTAAGTGACACGGTCCATGGCGTCCTGAATTGCAGGAGGAAGTGTGAGACGGGTAAAACTCTAGACGAGGAAGAGAAAGAAAGACTGACCTCCAACTTCGGAATTAGGTAGTTGAGACGTTTGGTGATCGCGGAGGTCGTAGCGATGTGCCTTCGCACTTGGTCTCCGCGAGGGAACTGATCAATGAGCACTGAGACTCTGTTCAGAGCACTGCACGACGAAGAGTCTGAACACCCAAGCTAATATTGATGTAATCGCAGACAGTGATGCTTACCGTTGGAAGCCGGCAACCGTATCTTCGTATCGATCACGCCAGGAAAGCTGGGAGTGATCGCTCTCGTCTATGTTCATGTCCACATCTCGGTTCAGGGGTTCCAACGAAGCACGGAGAGCTGTCATCAGCTCGCAATAGGCCGCCTTTGCACTCGCCAAAGTCTCGGGGGATAACGTATCGCATTTGGTAAAAGCCTAGCAAAGACCTTGTCAGACGCGGGAGGAGGTAAGAGCATGAAATGACATATTTACCTCGTTCATACGATTTGCGTCTATGAGGCACCGGCGAGCGAGCACTCCAAGGTGATATTTCAGGTCTACCTCGGGCTCCTCTTCTGTCTTAGCAGATGTTTTGCGCGCATGCCTTGACTTGGCAGCCTTCGCCTGCTCCTCTTCAGGAGTATTTGGAGGATCCTCATCAGACCCCCGAAGCAACAATGAGTTCTTTGGCGATGGAGCATTAAAGTAAGGCTGTTCGTCCCGCCAACTTTGATTCTTCCCTGGAAGATTCTGAGCCCCCGGAAGGATATCCGACATCTCCTCAGGTGACATTATAAGTGCCGGCTTTCCAGGAGAAGGCGTGGCAACGACCGTGCTAGAGCCCTTGTCGAGCGGGGTCCCGCCCATCATTGAGGAGCCGACGCGACTCCAGGGCCTTTCTACGTACGTTCCCTCGGGGGTCAAATGGCTGGTGGATCCGGTTCCGGGAGATCTGCCTCGACCATAGGCCTGAGATAGATAGTCGATTCTAATTTGCTCGGCAGGAGTGTTAAGACGGGAAGGACCGGCTTCTGCGGTATGGACGAAGAGAGGTGGTCTGGAGCGAGGTGAGTCTAAGAGGGTTTCGGGGGTTAGGTATTCCGTCTGGGTCGGAGCTTGCGTCTGCGCTGGCGCCTCACGTTGAAGGGGCTTTGGAGACTTAAGGATAGACTTCAGCGTCTCGGGAGTCGCGAGGGTCTGTGGCATTTCTGAACGCAACACAGAATATGGCGGCGCTGGTGTGTTCTTTCTTGACGTTGCTTGCGAGTGCGGCGGCGGAGAAAGCATGTTAATGGAGTTGTTCGAGGACCCGACAGTGGTGGGTGGGATGATAGTAACCAGAAGACTGTTAATGCTCTCATCTGTCGACTGCCTTTCACGGCTATCATCCTTCGACCTGTTCGAAGATGAGAATTGGACATGCTCCTGAGTTACATCCTCGGGATGTGGTGAGGGCTGTGAGAGGGACTGCGTCGGAGCCTGTAGGAATGCGTCTTTAGGTTCCTTGCCTCTGGGTTCTTGCCTTTTAGAATTGTATACATCCCGTTCCTTTCCTTTGGGCTCCCTCCTGACCAGCTCTTCCTCAGGCAAATCCTCGATACTGGCCCCTAAACCACCGCTCGTCTGTGAAGCACTCGCCGCCATCAACATCTTTCTCATCTCCTCGCGTACTTCTTGTTTCTCAGCCTTATCCTGAGGTACAAGCCCCGGGAGCCCCAACAGCGACATCTTCGATACCCCTGAGCTCCCACTTTCGGTGCTAATGGTTGTGTTTTTGCGTGTAGGGCTCCGTTTGACGCTAAGGACCCGGACACCACCGACCATTGTGGTCGTTATGACGTCCCCATCTTGCAATCCAAGGGAGTTGTATTCGTCGGCAAGGTCCCATAGACGAAGCTTTGGACGAGGGGGAGGAGATTCTCCGCATGTGGGGCGTATTTCCTCCGTGAAGATCTCCTCGACGGAAATCTGTGAAGTAGATACCCTATCTCCAGCTCCTTGAGACGGTGAGCTATCCTCAACGCTAGCTGGTCCGGCATTGTCAGGGCTCAGAGTTACAGGCTGACCATGGGGGTCAACACCGTCCAGGATGTTAGTCAAGGGGTGCATAGGCTGAGGCGCGTCAATGAGTATAGTAGGTTCCGAAGCAGGACCAGCTGCATTCAGGTCGGGAGTAGGCAGGTGTTGGGCAAGGGCTGCCGCGCTGAATGGGGGAATAAAAGAGGGAACTCCGTTCCACATCACCCATTCCGTGGCATCGCCGAATGGGAGGACCGGTTGTGTGGGTATCGACCCTGAAAAGTGGGGATCTCCTAGGTGGGCATGAGGGTGATGATGATGTGGGGGATTACGCAGCGGAGGAACTTGACTACTCGTTGATGCATTTTGCTGGGCGGGATATGCAAAGCCCTGCTGCTGGTCGCCCTGGTGAGCCCCCGACTGTGGTAAATTCAACCCGAGTGACGCATAAGCCGGAGGCACAAACGGTCGTACAGGACGGTGGTGCGGCGGGATAGGTGCATCCACTGACTCCATTGAACTAGGAGAATCGGGATGGTTCGCGGTCTCAAAGCGCGCACTGTAGCCCGAACCTTGATTTTCAAACACTGGTATCGGGAACTGGTGAGACGGGTCAAAGAAGTGACCCCAGATCACAGGATGTGGCGATAATGGATTGTGAGCCTGCGGCGGAGCTTGAGCTCGCGGTGGTGGCGATGGAGGAGGTTGCTGTGGGCCCGCGTGAAATTGAGTGTTTGGGACCTGGGAACCAGTAAATAGAAGATTGGGTAAAGTCGTCATAAACGGAGGGCCTGTGGAGTTGTGATTTAAAGGGACGGTGTGAACGTTGTGAAGAATCCAGGTGAAAGGTCCCTGATCCGTTTGGAGGTGATATGGAGCATTACATTGTCCTTGACCCATCCCCGGGGGGTATGGTCTGTTACCCACACACTCATGGCACATGCCGGAGAATGGATGAACACCCGGGTCCCTAGGAGAGTGAGGGTCACCCCGAAAGGGGGATGGTGATCGAGGATGGTGACTGTGGTGACAAGGTCGCGCTGGTCCAACCATCCAGATATCAGATGTTCAAGGGTTTGAGAGGTGTGAGTATGAGGTTACGAGTAGTGATTATAGCGTTGCAGTTTACTGACAGGGACCTTCGAAAGGTGGATTTATGTATAGCATTCCTTGGTACGCCCACAGACGTAAACTTTCCTACACGAAGTCACCAGTACCGAGGAGAGAACAAAAAAACTACATTTGGTGCAGTTACCTACCTGCCTTCAGGTCAAGGGCCTCAAGGGCCTGTTTGATGCGTTCTCCTTGGAGCACGAGGCTAGATGCCCGAGAGGGACGCTGATTGCTGATGCGATACGTGACTGAATGTGTGTAACACAAAACAACGGTGTCAGGTGCGCTAGGGCCTTTTGTTTTTACATTCTCAAGGTCTTCGTAGCCTTAAAGAACACAAAGCACGCCCTTGGAAACGCTGTAGGTCCAAGCTTGTCAGTATTTTCGACTACATAATAGAAGGTCGTCTAGTGGGCCCTTCAAGTTGATGAACCACGTAACTCGTGATCATCTCGATGGTGATCTCAACGGTATTTCGAAAACAAGGCTTCAAAACCGTCTTGCTCGTCGTGTTTGGAGAAAGTCACGATAGTACTAGTGCTGTGGACTTTTGCAACTTGCAAGAATCCTAGCTACCTCCTCGGGTCACGTGTTGAAGTAAATCTTGACGAATCCGCTCGCACAGCTTATGATCAAGTTGAAGTTGTTCCATGTCTATCTGACGAGCGTGGCGGCAGGCACGCTCCAAGGTTCTTTCTCTTGCTACAACATATTATCTTCATGTTTGCTCAATTTTTTGGACACAATCGCACAACACTATGGCTCTTCCCAGCTTCATGGGAGGACACGTTGACCTTCCACAGGAGGCTATTCCGCCGTTCTGCGCTGACCTTTTTGGCGACCTACAAAGATTTACAACTGGGTCTCAAGCAATCTGACATTGTGTTTGAGTCCCCCCTCTGGGCCATAGCCCGCGATGTGGTGGTTTCCGACGATATTATTCAGTCTGGCGATATACACGAACATGACCTTGAGTCTCATCGGGAGGATTACGCGACGCGGGAATGGTCGCCCAAAATGATGCACGACGGTGGACCGTGGCCTTCATCAGCCCATGATGTTCCCCTCTACGACTATACAGCTCACGCGAGCAAGCCCCAGTTTGGTTTTCCAGCAACACCTACGAACACTCTCTTCAATGAAACCGAGC